GAGCCCCCACCAGTGGGGACACTCCTCCCTCCCCCATGGGCAGAAGGCGCTGTGGTAGTGGCCCTGCCCCCTGCTGCAGTGAGCCTGCCTTGCTGTAATGTTGGTTCTGAGGGGCCCAAGAGATGGCGTCTTGGTCAGGTGCCCGCATGGTTGGACTGTTGGTCAAGGCCATGAACAGAACTGATGGTAACAGGCACGGCTGGCCCAATGCCTGGTCTGGGGCTGGGGCCTGTCTTTGACTTTCCAGGTGGCTCCGTGCAGCTACAGCCAGGCCAGCTGTCTCATCTCAGCTCTGTGGGGCACAAGCCATACAGGGTGTGTATAAAAGACCCTCTCTCCCGCAGTAAAGCCAGGGGCCCTGGCCTGCTGTGCGTGGGGCCCCCGTGGGCAGCTGGAGCCTGCCCTGAGAAGAGGGTGGCTGTGTGCTCTCCCCTGCGAAGGAGAAGGAGCTGCTGGGCGGCAGCAGTCGGGCAGTGTTAGGTGGGGCGGCTTAAGGTCTGGGAGGGTAGCCCTGGCCAGCCAGGACAAACACAGACCCCAGCTTCAGCTGGGATACAGGCTCACTCTTTCCTCCTGACCCTAAGCTCCTGGCAGGTGGCCAGGTGGCTCTGGGGCCTCCCAAACCTCGTGTGGGTCAGGGTCCTGGAATGCCCCATGGCTCTGGCACCACCACACTGGCCTCTGACAGCAGGAGTTGGCCCCTCCACATGTCCCTTAAGGACAGCAGGTCAGGGAAGCCAGGACTTGGGGGTGAAGCAAAGCCCCAGGATCGAAGGCTGGGGTTCTGGGGCCTTTGGGTCAGAAGGGCCTGGGCCAGACAGCCTCAGCTTCGTCCCGTGCCCCACAAGATTCACCCTGGCCTCTAGTTCCACACTGGCCTATGAGTGCAGCAGCTCTCAGCTTCCACCTAGCAAGCTCTAGAGGTGAGGCGGGGAGCATGCCCTCAGAGAGGCCGGGCAGCAGGTTCTGCCATGCCATCTCCCTGTGTGCCTGGGCAGATCCATCTCCTAGTGCAAAATAGGGCTAAGGGCACCTGCACGCTTCATCCCTCACGCTCAGCTGCCTCTGGCCACGGACTTCTGCCCTCCGCCTGCTCTCTCTTACTCCCCTGAGCCTAGCCCATCCCCATGCTCCCACCCTGCCTGCTTCCCAGGGCAGGCTGACTCAGTTGACTAGTCTAAGCCTGGCCCTGGCACTTGTGAGGGTCAGCCTAAGGAGATGGGAATAAACATGCCAGAGAGCACCATGAAACATGCCAGTGAGCTCATGTTTCACCAGAGGTGGATAAAACCAGGTTCCTGGCCACACGCGGTGGCTCATGCCTATAATCCTAGCACTTTGGAAGGCCAAGGTGGGCAGATCACAAGGTCCGGAGTTCAAGACTAGCCTGGCCAACACAGTGAAACCCTGTCTCTACTAAAAATGTAAAAATGGCTGGTGTGGTGGCTCATGCCTGTAATCCTAGCACTTTGGGAGGCTAAGGTGGGTGGATCACCTGAGGTCAGGAGTTTGAGACCAGCCTGGCCAACATGGTGAAACCCCATCTTAAAAAAAAAAAAAGGAACAAAAAACCCCACAAAAATTAGCCATGTGTGGTGGTGCACACCTGTAATCCCAGATATTCAGAAGGCTAGGGCAGAACTGCTTTGAACCCTGGGAGGTGGAGGTTGCAGTGAACTGAGATCATGCCACTACACTCCAGCCTGAATGACAGAGCAAAATTCCGTCTCAAAAAAAAAAAAGTTCTGATGCCTGCCCCATCTAAGCTGAGGCCCAGAACCGTGGGCTCAAGGACAGATGTCAGGCGATAGCGCAGGTTCTGTGAACAGCAGAGATCCCCTTCGTACCTGCTGCAGGTCTCTACATCACCTGGGAGCTTTGTAGGGCACAGACTTGCAGCCTCCCCTGTACCCTGTTACTGCAGGGGACTGTGCCAAGCCTGGGCAGGTCTGGGAGGCTGGGGTCAGGCACAGGCTGCCCCTCCTGAAGGAACATTGACAGCTCTTCCGAGGGCCACCTGCATTCACACTGAGCCCATCTGCAAGGAGAAATCACTGGCTTTGAGCCAGGGCCTGTCTCCCCCCGGGGACCTCTGACGAGCCCTGGGCACTAGGCGAGCTCAGCTCTGGAGGTGGAGGATCCAAGCTAGCCACTCGTGGCCCAGCTGGTGAGGGCCTGTGACAGACACACCCTTAACTACTTGGGGCATGGCAGGGAGTGTTGTGGTCGTGAGTTACCCAGGCCTCCCGTGCCTTCTGTTGCCAGGCAAAAATGTTCTTCAAGATAGAAAATGGTGGATGTGATCATGGTATCTTTAAAGACTTGAGTCTTGCTCTGTCACCCAGGCTGGAGTGCAGCGGTGTGATATCTCGGCTCACTGCAACCCCTGCCTCCTGGGTTTAAGTGATTCCCCTGCCTCAGCCTCCCAAGTAGCTGAGATTCCAGGCGCCTGCCGCCTCACGCAGTTAAGTTTTTTGTGTTTTAGTAGAGAAGGGGTTTCACCACGTTGGCCAGGATGGTCTCAACCTCCTGACCTTGGGTTATGGAATCTTCTTTGATCAGTGTTCCCCTTTTATGCCCTGTGCCCCAACTATTCATCTAGGGGTGTTCCTGATCCAAGCATTGGATCAAGAGTTATAAAAATAAGACTTCACAGCAGTGGTGCTCACAACGTGGGCATGTCCGGCCTTTATTAGATAAAGCCACTGGGCCCATCCAAGCAGGCAAGCTCAGTTGTAAACAAGCTTGCCAGTTAGAGGAAGGATTCTCCACAGATGGTGGGCCCCACAAGCCCAGGGACCCCCATGTGCTGTTGGGATCGCTCCCCATGGGCATCTCAACTAGGTAGGAAAGGGGTTGAGATCCCTGCGGGACCACCCCCAGTCTAGGGGTGCTCCCCTTTTCCACCACATTCTGATGTTTCATCCACAGCTCAGTGGACATCCAGGGAGTCCCCCAAGCCTGCAGGTTCCTGGGCAAGGCAGTGGTCTCATCCCCCCGACAATGTGGGTCGGGTGGCCTCAACAGGACCTGCACTCATCTTTGCCTCAGTGCCTTCCCTTCTCCAGCCCCCATCCAGCCTAGGAGCTGTGACAGTGACGCTGACACAGGATCACTAACTGGAAGAGCAGTGAGCAGGAGCTAGGGGGTCTGGGGGCCATCTGAGCTGAGGACAGCTGGCTCATAGCCCCAGCCTACCCCTGTGCCAGCAGGGTATGTGCAGAGTCTGCCAGAGCAAGAGGCCATGCTCCAGAGGTGGTCATGGCTGTTGGAGGAAGCAGATGCAGCCTCACCCCAGCCCGAGCCTGTCACCATAGCCAGGGCCTGGCAGGCAATGGTACCAGCACAACCTTGGGAAAGAGCCTCCCAAAGCGTTCCCCCACCCCCAGGGTCCAGTACAGCCACCAACCCTGGGGTCTTTCCATCACTTCAGACACTGAGCAGAACCCAGAGAGGGTTAGTGAGCTGGAACCCCAGCCGGGACAGGGCACCAGGTTCCAACCCAGGTCTCAGGGATCCATGGCTAGGGCTGCCCTCAGGGCCAGGCATGGGCAGAGCGGCCCGAGCCTCTGCCACACAGCATCATGTGCCAATGCACCCCATGCTAGGGAGATGCTTTTTAAGCCCTCTTTAGGAGGATTCCCCGTCCAGTAAACGCCAGCAGGCAGACCCACACTTCACAGCCTCCTAATGCCCCCACCAGCCTGCACCTGCTTTTCTTTTTTAATAGCAAAAATCAGTGCTGCCTTGTTTACAGAAAGTGACCATCCAGGACTGTGGGACAGAGCCACCCAGATGAGAGGATGGGGTCTGCCCGCACCAGCGCCAGCCTTCTGGGACCCAGGCCAACGAAAGAGCTGAGATGGGAAGAAGGGCTGGAGATGAAAGCCTTGCCAAAGACGCAGTGGCAATGAGTAGCTGGGCTGCGGGCGGCCCAGGCTGCAGACGAGGCCCAGGTGTGCAGCCCTCACTGGCACGGTGGCCACGAATCGGCTCCTCGGAGCCCTGGAGGCAGGCCTGGCAGAACAGAGGTGGTGTCCCCACCTTGGGTGCCTGGGCCCCTGAGAAGGTTCTGGCCGAAATGCCTCAGGCTTTTTGCAGCCCATTCCTAGCAGTTCAGGCCAGAGACTCTTCCTTGGACCTATACAGAAGTCACTTTTGGGGAAACTCCCTCCAGCTGCCCAGCTGCCAAGCTGGTGCAGAGCCCTTCCCTTCCCTGTGGGCATCAGGCCTGCCCTGCACTCTGCAACTCTGGGTTCTCAAGGTTCCCACTGCTCGGACACTGGAGGCAGGTGGGGATGAAGGGCCAGGCCCCTGCCCATCACACCAGCTCGGGCAGCATCTCTGCAAAGGCAGCCCTCACCCCACCTGGGGAGGCATGGGCATCCTCGGCCCCAGGCCCACTGGAAGGACTCTAGGCCTAGACCTGGCCGAAGCAGAAGAGGACCAGGCCTGGACAGGCCCTGGGGCCTTTTCCACCTTTCAAACTAGGCCTCCCAGGGGCAGCTTGTCAGCCATGGACTGGGAGAGGCAGACAAGTTTGAGGGGCAGTGGGGAAGGAGAGCTGGAAGAGGATGGTGCTGAGGCACCGTGGATTGCCTTGGTGGCTATTAGTGCCAGGGCCCGCTTCCAGGTATGTCAGGTGGCTCCTGGCCCTGGGGCCAGACAAAATGGTCTGTGGCTGATGAGGAAGGCGGGGAGGAACTCTCCTGCCATTGGCCAGGTCACCAGGGCCCAAATCCAGTCAGCTGCCAATCCCATGGAGTAAGAGATCTGTTCAGACCAGAATTTTCTTAGGGAAAACTAAAAATCCAGGGAAACGGAACCCCACCTCCCTGTTGTACCCAGAACCTAAGGAAGCCAGGACTACAGGAATCCATCCCTCCCCGACTCCACTGTGAAGCTCCAGTACCTTAGGTCTCTGCCTCTGACCTCCAGAGCAACCGCAGGGTGGCCCGAGATCAGCCCACCCGGCCCGTTCTCACGGCCCCTCTGAAGAGTATCTTTAAAAACAGATTTAATGTGTTAAAAAAAAAATAGAACCAATTGGTGTGCTTCGCCACTGAGATGATCGCGCTGTGGCTTGGGGACCACGTAGCACCAGGGCTCGACAGCAGACAGGAGTGTCAGGCCCTCGTCCAGTGCATGTGACTGGTGCAGGGACAGAGGCCCAGCCCCATGGGGGCCAGAGCGGGAACACAGCCACCTGTTCCGACAGGCTCTGTGCCTTGTATGCCCTGCGCATGTGCCTGCCCTCGGAGGAGCAAGGGCCAAGCCTCTCTTGCAGCTGCATCTCCAGGAGACTGGGGTGCCAGTGAGGCAGGGCGACCTCTCACCAACAGAGATCCTCCAAGCCAGGCTGGGCTTGGATTCCTGTAACCCCCATACCCATGGAGTGGGCCACCCCAGGGGGAGGGGAGGAGAGAGAGGAGACTGTGTGCATCCCCTTCCTCCAAGTGTAGCAGGAGAAAGGTCACTGGGCTGGCCTGGTCACACACTGTCATAGGGGCCTGCTGGAGTGTTCCCCATGCCCCCCAGCCTCCGCGCCATGCTGATGAGTGAGCGCAGCTGCACCAGCCTCAGTGGCCCCACTTCTCTGGGGTCCTGGCTCTCCAGCCACCGCAGAGCTGTCTCTAGCCCCCGCACGGCCTCTCCGGCAGTGGGCACTGAGGCCCCTCCATACTCGGTGGCCTCCTCCTCCTCCTCTCCACCCCCAATGGCAGAGGGCAGGCTGGCTGGGGCTGGAGGGGGCAGGGCTGGGCCCACCTCCTCTCTGCAGCCCTCGAGCAGACCGCCATCATCATCCAGGTGCAACCACTCTGCAACCTCCTCAGGAGCCAGGCACTTGTAGGCCAGAGCTGCCAGATGAGTGAGGTCGCTGAGCACCCTGCTGTGCTCGGCAGCTTCCTCGGCCTGTGCTGGCTGCCCAGCACTGTCCTCTGCGGGCCTGGGCTCAAAGGCGGCCCGCAGGCCCAGCAGCCAGCAGCGCTCGATGCTGCCCGCCTGCACCAGGTCCCAGGAGAGGCCGGCCAGGTAGAGCATGTCCTTGAGCATGAAGCTGCGCATGAAGTCCAGCGGGGAGCCGCTGGCGCAGGACACAGCCAGCCGCAGCAGCTCACGCTTGTACAGCTGCTTGAAGGCGGCCACCACGCCCTGCTCCAGCGGTGCGGGTATGTGTGCCCGGCTGCTGCCTTTGGACAGGAACAGCACGCGCACAGCGCCATCCGGGGTCTGCAGCTCCTCCGGGGGGCCGAGAGACTCCGGCCTGCACCGCATGGGGGTCTCCTCGCTCTCCTCCAGGGCGGGCACACTGGAGGTCGGGCTTGGGGACGGCGGGTGGGCCACCAGCAGCACGGCCTTCTGCTGCAGACAGCTTCGGCGCAGATAGCGCTTGACGCCCGGGACAAATTCCTCAAAGAACCAGCCCCGCAGCAGAGGCCGGCTGAGCCAGGCGTCGGGGCTGTAGCGGTAGGAGGCCGGGAACTTGTCCTGGTTGTGGTGGCGCAGGCTGGGCGGGTCCGGCAGCCGCCCGATGACCAGCGGCTTCAGCTTGTGGCTGCCGGTCAGGTTGGCGGCCAGCAGCACCGTCACGCGGTCGCCCCGCCAGCGCCGGCCGCAGCCCCCAGTCCCGGGGTCCCCTGCGCCCGGGGGCGCAGCCTGCTCCGGAAGCAGCTTCCAGTAGAGGCCGGTGACGTTGGCGTTGTAGATCTGCTCGTCGCCGTAGCCGCCCTCGGCGGGGGGCGGCGGGGCCGGGGCGCGGTCGGGCAGGGGGCTGGCGCCGGGAGGCAGCGCGGGCTCCTCCTTGACCGGGGGTCCGGGCGCGGGGCCCGGGGCGGGGGGCCCGGCCTCGCCGTAGAAGCGCTGGCTGGAGATGCCGTGGCGCTTCTGCCAGCGCCAGAACCAGCCGTGGCTGGCCTTGAAGGTGCACTCGGGCCCGTAGATCTGGCGCGCGAAGGCCTCGGCCTGCGCCTGGATGAGCGGCCCCGACAGCGGCACGCCGTGCTGGCGCAGCGCCAGGAACCAGGCGTACACGGCGCGGTCGATCTCCTCCTCGTTGGCCAGCCGCATCTTCTTGCGCTGCGTGCCCACCTCGCCGCCCAGCTGCTCCAGGAACCAGCGCAGCTTGGGCTCGTCCTTGAGCCAGCCGCGCAGCGTCCCGCCGGGCACGCCGAAGTCGCGGCACACGCTGGCCTGCCGCTCGCCGCCCTTGACGCGCTCGATGGCCTGCAGCTTGTCCTTGATGGAGTAGGCCTTGCGGAAGGCCATCTTCACGGCCACGCGGGGCCGCGGACCGGGCGCAGGGGGCGGCGGCCGCGCGGCGGAGGCGGGGGCCGGGGCGGGCGCGGGGGGCCCGGGCGGGGGGCGGCGGCCGCGGCGCGGGACCGGGCCGGCCTGGGGGCCCGCAGCGTACATGGCAGCGGCGGCGGCGGCGGGGACCCGGGCCGCGGGTCGCTGGAGCCACACGCCCAGCCGCTCGGGGCGGGGCGCTAGGGGGCGGGGCCGCGCGGGTCCCTCCCCTTTGTCCCGCAGCTCGGCGGGCGCACGCGCGCTGACCCTGTCGGGGGCCGTCCGGGCCCCGCGCCTGCGCGCTGGCCGCCTCGTGCGTCACTCGGCGCCTGCCGGCCGCCGGCCCCGCCCCGCTGGCGACACCACTGGGCGCGAGGCGCAGGGGGTCGCGCGCGCCGCCGTCCCGTTCCCGGCACTCGTGCAGGCTCCTCCGGGAAAGAGCGGCCTCCGCGGTCGTCTCTGACGTACTTCTGCCTTTGAAGTGTCGGGGCGCGGCACGTCGAGGGCCCGGGCGGCCAGGCGGAGCGTGCGCAGGGGCCGCGTCCCCCCGGGCCCCCGGCCTGCGGCTGTTGGTAGAGCCCAGTGCTTCATTTCCCGTGCGCGGCCCAGGCGGGCCTCTCTTTCCTCAGGCGTCCCGCGTCCGCCCATTCCTCCTCCCTGGTCGCCGCGTCCTTGGCTGGCGTGTGAGTACCGCGGCCCCCGCCGGAAGAAGCCGAGGGCACCAGAGATGCCCGAGGGGCCGGGAGGGCGGGCAGCCTGGGCTGCGCCAGAAGCTCGCGCCGTTAGGGACTGAGGCGCAAGTGCTCCAGTGCCGGCTTAGGGGTCGTGGGCCAAGTGCGGCTCTTGGGGCGAGCGCAGAGGGGCGGGGCGACTGAGGCCTCGTGGCCCGCCTGGAGGGCATCCGCGGGCTCGGGCCGCGGGGAACACTGGCTCACCGGGCATCCTGCCCATGGAAGTCCCTCGGCCAGGCTGCTGAGTCCTAGGGCCTGTGTCTGCTGCAGTCTTGGTGGGAGACGAAACATCTGCCCCGGTTGTTCCTCTGGCTTGCAGAGTTTCGTCCACCACGTGTTTAGTAAGCACCTACTGCACGCATCTGCTGAGTACGGAGGGGATAGGCAGGGGCTCAACACTTTTGGAACTTAGACGCTTGTGAACACGGGAAGGAATAAGGCTGTATTGTGACTGGGTCAAAATTTCTGTTTCCTGATTTGGGTAGGATGGTCCGGAAGTCTCTGAATTGGGGCGCTAGGATGGTGGGGGTGCTGTTGGCAAGAGGCTTTAAATGGAGGGAAGAAGGCAAAGGGGGCGGAGTGGATTGGGGACCTGATGACACGTCAGGGATTGCTTTCCAGAATGAAGGACCGCCTGGCAGCAAGAGAACTGTGTAGCTAAATTTGGGGGTCGTCCCTGTCTGACCTGGCAGGGTGCTTCTTGAGTTGATACTGCCTGTGGCTCACCTCCCAGGGAGGCAGGCCAGGCCCTCTCACTTGAGCAGCCTCCTGCAGCACCAACCACCCCATCCTCTGGAGCCCATGAGCCTTAAGCAGCTGCCTGAAAGGCAGTGGGTTACTTCTGGAGCCCCTGTGTATGCTCAGCCCTGTTCTGGGGGTGGGGGATGCAGCCAGGGTGCTGGACAGGGTGAAGGGCAGGTGTGAAAGGAGCCCCTAAGTGTCCCCTGCGGAATTGGACACTCACCTTCGCCTTCTCATCACATGCGCAGGCAGGTGCATGTGCTGCCCAGCCAGGCTCCTAGATCCACCCCTTTGGGGCTTTCTGGGTGCAGTGCCAATCCTGCGGATAGCAGCATCTCCCCTAGGCTGCTGCAGGTTTCACACGCAGTCAGTTCTGGAGAGTGAGCGCCCAGCTGGCAGAGCCCTCCAGTGTCTCCCGTCCCTTCTGGAGGACTGGGCCCTTGGCTTTGCTCCCTGGGAGCTGGGTGAGGCTGCAGGGTTCAGCGCAGGTGGGCACATGCTTGATGATGAACAGGGTACCTGACTGTGCTGTGCACTGGTGTCAGCCTTCCGGGGGCTAAGGACAGGAAAGGCAGCATGGAGCATTTTTGTGGGTCATCATCCTGTGCCAGTGTTTTAAGGTGACATGGTGTGCTGGAATCTGGTGGCAGCAAGTTATGCTAAATGCTGGTGTAGGAGCCTGTCACGGGTCTCCAGCTGCTCCGCCTCGCTGACAGCCACGGGTGCCATATGAGGTGTGTTGTGGGTGTTGTCAGGGATTCCAGAAAGTCTGTGGAGTCACCCAGGAGGCATGGGGGCTGGAAACGGTGCTGACCTGCAGTGGCATTTAAGAAAGGATGTGGGTGGGGTGGGGTGGCTTGGGTACCTACGGTATGGGCTCTGAGGTATGCAGGACAGGCTGGCGTTTCCCAGTAGGGCTGGAATGTCCAGGGATCAGACAGGAAAGTGGCTGAGTTGGAAAGTGGAGCTGTAGAGTTTTTCCCTTAAAAAGACCAAAAGCAGCTGTGCGAAGTGGCTCACGCCTGTAATCCCAGCACTTTGGGGGCCCGAGGCGGGCAGATCACCTGAGGTCAGGAGTTCGAGACCAGCCTGGCAAATATGGTGATGGCAGGTGCCTGTAATCCCAGCTACTGGGGAGGCTGAGGAAGGAGAATCGCTTGAACCTGGGAGGCAAAGTTTGCAGTGAACTGAGATTGCACCACTGCACTCCAGCCTGGCAACAAGCAAGACTCTGTCTCAAAAAAAAACTAAACAAACAAAAAACAGAGGCCTCACTCAGCGCTGGAGGCTGCTGATCTGTCCTGTGCACTGTCCTGCCGTGCCGTGCTTCTGCCTACGGAGCTGCTTCCTCAGGTGCTCTAGCCTCATTTTCAGGGCTAGTTGTTGGACCCTTTGGGCACAGAAGATACAGAAAGTTCTGTCAATTGGTGCCAGTCTGCAAACTCAGGTCAGGCCAGTCAGGTGGGCGGGAGAGAGTTGCTGCTGGGAGGGGTGGTTGTGCGCAGGCTGAGCCTGGGGGCCGACCATATCCCCTGCCCACTTCCCTAACTTCTCCCCGTGGAGGGTGGACAGTCTGGGATCCTGTCTGTGTGTGCGACTAATGGGGTGGCGTGGAGGGCAGGGCCTGGGAGCCAGCTCCTCCCAGAAACCTTCCCTGTGTGCCTAGGGTGTGGAGACCTTCAGGCCATGCCACAGCTCTCCAGGCATGTCCTCACCTTCCTTCAGGGTCCTGCCCTCCTGAACTGCAGTCTTCTGGGAAGGAGCGTCCTTGCCCTGGCTGTTCCAGGGACAGGGATGGGAGCTGTGAGGGCCATGCTGCTGCAGTGGGTCTTGCTGGGTACCGCCTGCGCCACAGACCGTCTTAGATGGGTGGAGCCTTCCAGAGCTAGGTCCCCACGGCACCCTCAAACTCTGGGCAGCTGACGCAGGCTCGGGTGCTTGGCAGGCTGTCTGCCCCTCAGTGGGGAGCCTTGGTGGTGAGCCCTGCATGCATCCTGGAGCCTGGCGTGCTCCCAGGAGTGGAGTCAGGACACTTGGGCCGTTTCCCCTGGGGCCTGGCTCTGGCGTTTCCAAGACTGCTTCTCTGGCAGCTGGCTGTGTCCCTGTGTTCTCTTTAGCAAGCTCTTCCCAAGTTTGGATAAACTTCAGGAGAGAAGGGGCTGGCCATCTGTAGGGATGCAGTGACAAAGTCATTGCATCCTGCTGTAGGCTCTCCTGCTGGAGAGGAGAGGCTTGGGTGTGCTCGTTGTCAGAGTGAGTGGAAGCTCAGACTTTCCCTCTGTTGGGTGAGATGGTGTGCTTGGTCCTGCAGGTCCTCCTGTGCTCCGGAACATGGGAAGCGGGGAAATGAGGAGGTGGGCTCGGAGGTGTGGGGGGCTGTGCTGGCTGTCCTGGAAGGATGTCTGCCCGCTGTCAGTGGCCAGCTGCCCAGGTGATGGGCCTGGCCTCTGAGTCTCCAGCCTGGCTCACTGTGGTATCTCCTGAGGGCTTCCTCTCCGCAGGGAAGCCCACTCAAGACCCCTTTTACCAGTCCCATGGGGCAGATGCCTAGTTCTTCTCTGCAGGGTGCCCCCTGCTGCAGTGTGGGGTGCACAGAGGTGGGCACGGCCCTGGGGCCAGAGCTCCGCTTGGTGAAGGAAGACAGATCCCAGCCAGGGCTCTTGGGTTGCTCAGCAGCAGGAGGTGGCCCCTCCTGCCCAGTCCCACTCAGGGCATGGGCTGTGGCTGGGTTTTCAGCTGTGCCCAGCTACCCTACCCAGAGCTTGTAGGGTTTATGAAGTGGCTCTTGTGAGATCGGGGGCAGGTCACCGATTATCTGTGCACACTGGGAGAGTGAGTCTGGGAGGCCTTTGCATCCCTTGAAGTTTTTTGTGGCTCGTGCTGGGGCCCTTGGGTGGCAGCCCTACCTCAATGGTGGCTCCTGCTGAGAGGGAGGCCCCGTACAGTCTGGGCCCTGGGCTGCTTTCCCCTGGAGGTTCCTTGTCATCTTCCGGGCTTCCTTCAGCACCTGGACACGCGGCAGTGCAGGGTCAGCTCCGGGGAGGATTGCGGGTGTTGGCTTGTCTCGGGCTGCCTTGCTCAGGTGATGACAGGGTGGGTAGATTTGGGAGAGGTTGGCTCAGATAGTGGTCCCTGCTTGTCCCCCAGGGCCTGCCTGGGCTCCGGCTAACACGAATCCCAAGAGCTCCCCTTTCAAAGGATGACGGAGCGACGCCACCTCGAGCGTGTGGACTCAGCTGCCACCTGGGATTGTGGTGGTGGCGGGTCTGTCTGGCACTCAGCTTCCGTCTCCACCAATGTCACCTCCACGCCACCTCGCCAAGCAGCTTCTGAAAAGGCCTGGGCTGCTGCTGCTGTGTCTGACCCACTCAGTCTTTCTGGCTGCCTCTAACCTTGCTGCTTTTTCCTTCATGCTGTCCTAGGAGGCCAAAGGAAAGTAAGTACCCACCTGTCCTGGTGCCCCGTCCCCTTCATTTGACCAGGGAACCCCCAGCCAACACTGTACCCACAGGAACCCCAGCACCACCTGTGCATGGCCCAGTCTGCCCGGAGGGGCTTTAGTTTCCTGTAAAGTGGAGGAATTGGGTTTTCTGGGTGGGGCAGCAGCAGGTGGGCACCCTGTGTGGTCCTGAGCAGGGTCCTGGCCTGGGCTGG